AGAATTGAAAGACAATTTAATTGTAGACCATTATAACCGGTACGTTAGCTGGGCAACCAGCTTATATACCAAGAATACCGATTTTTTGATCTTAAAAAACTACGCAGATTTTGATTCGTTGTTATTTAATAGACAGAATAGATAGACTCAAGAGGAAGGTTTATATATAACGTCCCAATACTGTACACGGATCTTTAAACGCGCGATAACCTATATATCCCATATTCACGCGGGCGAAGCCGCGAGCTAAAAGCTAGTCTCTAAATAAAAACATTTATAATGTTGTTGACTTTTCACCCAAACACGCATAATTATTTGACATAACTGTACAGTAATGAAAGTCCAACGAGTATAATAACAGAATAGCTGCAATTTAGAAATATCTGTATTGTGTAAAATAAAATAAAATTGGATAAAATATCTCTAAACATTAAGGAATATAATTTATATATAATTTGGTTTTTTTAACATTTTATTTACAACAATTTATTTACAATCCACATTGCATACTAGATGATATACACTATATAACACAAGACAAATGTACGTAAAAATAATAATGGTATTTTTATAAACAATAACCCTATTTTAATTTAGAAAAAAACTACAAAATAAACATAGAGTAAAATTGGTTTACATTTTCTTACATTTTTCTCTCAGATAAGCGTTATTTTTAAAAATACTAAAATGTTCTCTTTTTTAATTTTAACAATTAATTGCCATTAGTGTGACGAAATACCATGCTCTTGTGCTTTTCATAGTCCAGCAGGGTAGGTAGGTTTTATTTGTAGCATAACTGTACTTTTGTCTTGGCATGCTAAAATAAATATTATATATATATATATTTAACAACAACTTTAAATTAATATTCGTAGAAATAAGTATATATTAACAAAATTAATTAAATTATCAAAATTGTTTAGTCGCTCTATACTAATGTTCACTGACGAATGTCTTATCTTAGCGGTATTGTAAAAAATGGTATAGGTCCTACCTCGACGAGCGCTAGCGCAGCACTGAGAATTTACTTTTGGCGCAACGGAATTTATACAACTTTAAATTATTATTATTGTTTATTTTTTTCTTAGAAACTTATATTTTTTTTTCATATTTCTAATTTACAAGTATATTAACTTTATTATTATGTTTTTTTTATGCAAAAGTTTCGTTGTATTTATGAGAAAATTAGAAATGATTATGGCAAAGTTTTGTTGAAATTTCGGGTTTAATTATGATCAATTTTTTAGATATTTAAGTTGAAAATGAAAAAAAGGACGATGCTGTCTCAATTTATAAAGTAATTATCAAGTTTTAGTAAAGATATCATATCAATTTATGTTTGTTTATTAATGAACGACGACCCCAAACTTCTGTCATTTAGCGTTTTTGAATAAACTATTTTAGAAATTAGGAAGACTAACAAAGAGAAAATTAACATTTCAAAGATGTTGTTTTTAAGATTAGATATCTATCTATATAATTCAGGAATCAAAATGTATATCCGACTCTTAATTTCTTAGAACCAGAACCCCAAAGACACTGCTTTTAGGCCAAAAAATGTGAAAGGCCTCTTAAGACAGGGAAAGACGCAAAATGGGTATCATCAATATTTTTAATTTATATTCCAAATTTAAAATTTTGTAAAATCCTATAATCCTACTCAACACAATAAACAGATTAACATAATCACCAAAATTTTTACGTTTGAAATTAAATTATACTGACATTAGAATTAACTGCATATTAGAACTTCATATTTCGAATACCAAAAAGACCGGTCTTTTTTTTTATAATTATATCATCTATGTGTAAAAAGTATGGAGTGACAATGCGCTAATTATTTTAAAACTAAAAAGAACGCGGCAAACCGTAGTATATGTAGAGCACCCATGACAATAAATAATATGCAACTTTAAGAATATTTTATGCGAATAAAATTATAATATAAATATTTAGATATACCTTTATTTATGGCGGAATTGAATTGTTTCATTAGATAATTAATTCTAGATTCATTCGATTAGATAGAAAATAACAGTTTAGGTAGGAATTATTATTAAGTATTAGGTATGAGCCTTCGATCAAAACGAGAACGAAAGGGAACATAACGAGATTAAATTTTAAATACTTAAAACTAGTATGAATTTGTCTAGCTCAATAGATATAAAAATATTAAATTATAAACCAACCTCATAATTTTTTTAAATGTTGTACGTACTTGAATTTCAAAGAACGATACCGCGAGAAAACGCATGAGAGGTACGGCTATCACATGATGACGTGATGTCCTAAGGGCTGTCCGTATCTTCAGGTTGTTTGCCAGTACAATAATATAAAAAAATATTACCTATCCTCATTCTTTCATCCTTCATCAGTAATTCAGATTCCTAGGGAAATCAGATGTCCTTTATATACTTATGAACGAAATGTGTAAGATTGAGTAATATTAATATGTAGGTACTACAATTATATCCCTAATACGGCTAATAGAAATTTACAAAACCATTTTAACTTTATCTGAAGTTCATCACTTTTGTTTTAAATTAAGAATCGTGGGTAAGAAAGGAAAAGATTGCAATGTTTATCTAGAATATGTTTATGGTCGTTTAACGTTTTTATGAACGAAATTGTTGTTTTCTTAATTTTGCATCCATATTCATGAGTGTTGATTGAATCTCTTTGTTTATATACTTAATACTTTTTTAATTTTTAATAACTATTTATTTCTAAATGTTCCTGTCCATATCTAAATAAAAAAACACAAAAAAACTCTCCAAACTGGTCCTACGAGCCGGATCATGTTCATAAAATTGTTGATAAATAAAAATTATTTACTTTTTTGTTTGTAAAAATTAGTGACGCAATAAAGAAAGCAAAAAACGAGCTGTGACAGGAACATTTAAAGAAATAGAATCATTATAAATTAGGTCGTACCTATTCGAGACGAATATTCTAACATTTCAATTGTATATTTTCTGTATTACGATTTCTTGCTAATAACTGCACACTAACATTTCCTTTAGACACAAATTTTTATTACTATATATGGGGAAATAAAGATAAACTTTCGTCTTTCGCTACAATTGTTTCGACTTCATTCGGAAGTCTTCCTCAGGCTGAGTGCGGTGTATATGTCGCACCTTGAGCTAAACGACTCAAGTGAAGGACGAAATCATAGTAAGTTAATAAACGCCCCGTATATAGTACCTAATAAAAACTACATTACCTTTTATCAAAAAAGAATGAAAGAAATATTAATGATCTTAACTTAAAAAGTATTTTTCTCTATTTGCACTAAGTAAAACTATTACTTACACAAAATAATATTAAAAGAAATGTATGTGATATTTTGCCGGTTGTCATATATTTTGCAAATATAATTAAGATTGACAGCTTTAATAATTAGATGTAAGATCCAAAGATACCTTTAAAATAAGTGATCCAGTGTAATAAAATTACAAATCCCTCAATAATGTCTACACACGGTGCTAAAATTGGTAGCGACTTCGCAACAGTATCAGAAACGTTCTTAATAAATCTTGTGTGTAGGCAAATCGTTGTTTTTATACTAAATGAAAGAAGAGAAGAGAAGAAAAAGAAAACATAATAATAACAATTACGATATATGTAGGTGCATAGGGCGTTAGTAATGCTTCGATATCACCACCAATTTTAGTACACAAACTAATATATGTATTAAGATGCTAACGCATTTTTATTGCTATGTGTAGACGATTAAGGTACATATTTTAACGTCCTTGTTTATGGTAAAAAAATACTTCTTTGTCATATATTTACTTTTGGTTTGTTGCTAATTCAAATTACTTTTAATATTAAAAAAATAACCGACTTCAATGAATAGTGGTTATCAATTCGGTTGCATTTATTTTTCGTGTTTATTACGTCAAAACTCCGTCATTTGAAGACGGATTATAATGGTTTGATTGGTCCCATTGAAATTTCATCATAATCGGTTCAGTTATTTTGTGATTAATTCAAAACAACTGGAAAATACAGCATTCTATACTGTTTATTATCATTAGGTACATCTAAACTGGATAACACCGGGCCTTATCGTGAGATGATAATCATCATTGATCATCAGATGGTAATATGAGTAATGATTGAAGTCGGTTTTATTTTTGTTGTACTAAATTAATTATTGTATAAAAGCCTTTGAAACTGGACCAATTGTTGAGATAAAATATACAATATTTAATAGCCTTAACTACACACGTGCATTGAAACAACAGTGAATCCGCTTTCATGGGCTGAATTAAAAAGAACTGAAATAATTTTGCTTGTCTCTTATGAAATGACAAAGTGTAATGTCACCACATAACATTGAATATTTAACATTTAAGTCCAAATACCTTATGGATTGTACAATAATTACATTTGTATATATAGATATATATGCATAAAATTATTGTTTATATTAAATTAGCTTAAATAATAAATCTTATCACAAAGACATTATTGTTTTATTTATTTAATGTACAGAATAACAAATGATCATAGAAATATTTATTAATAAAAAAAAGATTAACTAAATGTTGTGTATGCATTATAAACCATTCATCCTATGGTGAATATGAATGATTCTCTTATGAGTTACCTTGTGTACACAAAATAAGGTTCCTGGTACAAAAATATTTGAAGAATATTTTAGCTCAAGTAGCCTCCATAAAATTAGGCACTGTGTATGTTTATTAGCCATACTAATTGAGTTGAAGATAGATACAAGCAATATAAACTTTAAATCTAATACTATGTCAAGTAACATGAAAAAGGTTGCGGGTAAAAGCTGGTCATAAACAAATCTCAATTTATACATAGTTACACAACATATCAACAAGTAACTGCTCTAGAATGCTTGATAACCCATTATCTGTGTAATTATTATAAAACTAGAAAAATAATATCAAATAATAGACAAACATAAATTTGTACAATTTATTAAATATTACAACATTACAGCTAAAATTGGAATGACTCGATCACCACCTAAGTCCCTTGCCATGCAAATCCTTTTCGGCTAGGCGAATTTCCTGTTGAAGCTCTTTAGCTGCCCGCTCACAATTATTGAATGTAAATACACGGTACAGTATAACTGTAGGTGCATATATGGCAAACAACAAAATGAATATCAAAGGCGAATATAATATTAACTTCATATTACTTTCTATTAGTGGATGCTTCACATATCCAGCTATCAATGAGTACCATACTGCAAATACAGCAGATATACCTGATATCCATTCCAATAGTTTGGTCATGATTCTGAAACCAGAGACAATAATAATTTATTGCATCAAATATGGTATATAAAATGTCCAGTTAAAAATACAATATGAGAATCACATCTCCTAGGACTATACAGCAGTCATGCAACACATTTATTATAATTAAATTTATGTTAAAATTGGCGTTCTAATCAATCATATTTTCATTGACTGTATATTTCCAAAAGCTATTTGAATATTGTAGTTTTAGTTTTAACTGTTGCCATAAATGATTATCACAACTTTGAATAGAAGATAAAACACTTAAATTTTAGATTTATGTGTATTATTTACCTTATTTAATAGCTTATCTTTATTAAATTACTAATGGAATGTTGCTCAATATATATTTTATTACCGATCAATAATCCATTAACTAATCATTAATATACAATAAAAAATACGGCATTATTCTTTAAATAAACTAATATACACCAAACGTGTTTAAGAATTATTTATAATACAAAAATAAACAATAAATAAAAAAATTGAAATAGGTTACAGTAATACCTGATGACATGACAAATCCTATGTCAATGTCAAATTTCGAATGTCGCATTGACACTGTAATGACAAAAGAGGAAACCAACATTTATATAACTTTATGGTAGCTATACATCTATGCATTTAATTTAATTACATACTTTTATATACTTATTTAATTTTATATTAAAATCATTTATTAAAATAGATTGTATTATCTTTATACTTGGCTTGTAAAATTGTAACCACAACAGCTAATGATAGACAATTTTGTACGTGATGGCTGTATAGTGCGTATCATTGCCCGTAACGTAGACGAGTCAGCATTATGTTATTTCCGGTATAGACATAGAATGATCATAATAAAAATAATAGCAACACTGACTCTTGTGTCGTAAAAGGGTGAGTGAACCGCCTCATTGTTATTTATTGCATTTGTCTCTAATAATACATTAATTAGCTGTTTTACGGATACAGCGAGTGCAATAACATAGGTCGCGACAGCCATGCCGATGTGAGTAATATACAAGAGGTGTGGCACGTCGTTGGGGCGTTGTTTCTTGGTGCAGTGACATTGTTGGTGTGAAAAATATTTTGCCTATCTCGACGCAACATGACCGAGTACAAATTGGTAGTGGTAGGTGCCGGAGGCGTCGGTAAATCCGCATTGACTATACAACTTATACAAAATCATTTTGTGGACGAGTATGATCCTACGATTGAGGATTCGTATAGGAAACAAGTGGTAATAGATGGTGAAACGTGCCTGCTGGATATTCTCGATACGGCGGGCCAAGAGGAATATTCCGCGATGAGGGATCAGTATATGCGGACGGGGGAAGGTTTCCTGCTGGTGTTCGCGGTGAATAGTGCTAAAAGTTTTGAGGACATTGGCTCGTATCGAGAGCAGATCAAACGCGTGAAGGACGCCGAGGAAGTGCCCATGGTGCTGGTCGGGAACAAGTGCGACCTGCAGGCGTGGGCGGTCGACATGACACAGGCCAGAGAAGTGAGTATTTATCATACATTCATACTACCACTAATATTGACCTTCAGTTGTTACAAATAATGATAGTCAGTTGATCACCAACTAATGCACACATTAGTTGTATTGTCAGCAATTCAATAATTTTATGTAAGTAATCTCTAAATCAGAAGTAGGTCTCAATAATGTCTGCTAAAGAATAAATAATGTTTACACATGTCAGGAAATAACAAATAATGATTCACCAATAAAAACACTATTTATGTAATACAAATGTACATGCAGACATAGTAAGACATGAAAGTAATACTATTTGTTAAATTAGTATTTATATGAATTCAAAACAATATTGAGTTGAATAATGTAAAATTTTTGTACTTCACCAGCTATCCTGGTAAACATGGTGTAGCCATGTAAATTAATATCTCTATTAAAAAAATTGTGGCTGGTGGTAGAAGGGAGCAAAATTTGATGTTTTTTTTTATATTGTAAAGTCATAAAAAAAATTTTTTTAGACCAACCCTTATCTAAAAAAATAGATAAGGTTTGGTTTAACATTCCATCCATCCAACAGTCACAAATTTTGTATATTATGAAGATAGCTTTATAAATTGCAATGTATGTGTGTGATGACTGCAGATGTTTTAAAATGTTAAAATTAAAACATTGTTGTTAAAAACATAGGAGTAAGGATGTCCTTATCTCTGAAGGAGATCTCTTCCAACCAATCTAATGTAAATTAAGTGAAGATAATTAAGTGTTGGTATTTGGTCTACATTTTCAGACTATAAAGCTTTCTAATATGACTATTGTCACTGCTATTAGAAAGTAGAGAGAATAGAACAATTATACATTTAAATATAATTTCAAAATTCCCACTCATGATGTGTAGAGTTCAAAAACATTGTGCGTTGTGGCTGCACTCTTATATATAACTGTTCATGATTAGAGTGTAGTTCAAAAACATTTTTTTACAATATCACACTTATTGTTAAATAATAAGTGTAGTATTGTAAAAAATATTTTAAAAACCTTTAGTTTACAAATTTCTATTTTAATTAAATTTCTTTTCCACTTAAACAACTTAACAATATACCTATATGCATATGAATATAAATATGGTACATACACCAAAATAACAATTTTTACTGTCTGTCAGTTTGTTCCGGCTAATCTCTGAAATGGCTGGACTGATTTTGACGGAACTTTTTTTGGCAGGTCGCTTATGTAATAAGGAATAACTTAAACTACTTTTATTTTAGAAAAATAAAGTTAAATTCCATGATGCGGATGAAGTCGTGGGAACAGCTAGTTATCTACATAATCTAAAAAAATCTTGAACTCTAAAGTGCTTAGAAAATGGATTTAACTCAGCTTTCTGATAACTTTATTTATTTATATTTTTTTAACTTCAATGCACATTGTTGTATAACAATAATTGAGTGTATCATATTTTTTTATTGTCACCCTCATTATCATAATTTTTTATCAAGAAAGTTAATTATATGTAGGTACCTAAATATAGTTAGTCTGTGTAACCAATAATGAGCATTCACGTTAAAATATGATTCTTCTGTGTATTTTATCCCATAATACACACAATACAAAAAAACATTTGTGGACTTAACATGATATATGGCGACACATCATGGGGCATATTCTACCAGTCAACTATAGGTGTTCCAGAGAATAATAGTGACTTATTGTACTTTAGTTTTTATTATTTAATAACATCATTTCAAACACAAATGTGTGAACAAAGCAATTACCATGTCATTGATCTCATTTGATACTGACTATATTAAGTTAGGTAAGTAAGATGAATTGACTCAGTAATAAAACTATCAAATATTGTAAAATTTAAATTAATTTTATTACTCTCTTGAATGACAGACAAGTATAATAAATATAATAAAATTATTAATTATATTAAATAAAAATATTAATTAAGGAAATTAGTGTCTGTTTGTTATATCAAATTAGCAACTTTTCATTAAATGTATATGAAAGTACATATACTGTACTTACATGAAAAAGGCAATTTAAAAAAATATTAATTCAAATTCCATGTGTATGGTGTCCCATATATCACAAACTAGCTGTAACCCTCAACTTCTTGTGAATAGAATTCATTGTTCTATAAAAAAAAATCTAAAATAAGTTTTAGTTGCTGCCTATGTTATAGGAGCTAGCTACTGCTAGTGAAAGTCCTGGAGAAATCGGTCCAGCCGGCTTAAAGATTAACAGGGAGAGACAAAAAAATCTCAATTAAATTATTTGATGTAATGACTATACATAATTTCATATGCATTTAGTGAAAAGCTATTAATCTAAAATTCCAAACAGACACTTTAATGTTATATATTTGTATAGATGTGAAAGTTAGTATGTTAGGATGTTATGATATATTCCTTGTGAATAAAAAAATATTTAGATATGTAAATCTAGAACATGATTTATTTTTGTACCAAAACTCATTATTACATGAAAGAATGCCTTTCCTTCCAAACATCCCTAAAGAAAACCATCCATTCTCACAAAATTTTTGCATTTATAATATTAGGATTTTCTTGCTACTTGCTTTGTTAAACAATATCCAGATGAGAAGCTAAAGGAGGGTTATAAAGTCCAACTGACATTACATTATTCGGTTGTCAATCAGCCAATTTTCTTCTGGTTTAAAAATTCTATAATGGTTAAGGCAGTTGTGTTATGAAGCCTAGAGACAAAATTATACTCTCTCTTGTGAACTGTATGATTTGATAAACTAAATCAGTATAAGAATGTTATGTGAAATGTGATCACTTCTAATATAAACCAGTTGCATCAAACTGCACTTCTTTTGATTCAACAAATTGTTATTTATTTCTGATAGTAGTAAACACAGGTTATTAATCAACCTATATTGTAGGCCAGTTATCTATCCTCTTTACTATTTCTTATATTTTTATCATCATTGCCTTGCCTTTATCCCATTATTTGGGGACGGCGCATTTTCTTCCACTGATTTCCATCGGCCGTCAAATCTGAGTACTCTTCTTTTATTCATGTCATCTTTCATACAATCCATCCATCTTTTTTAGGGCGTCCTCTCCCTTTCCATCCATCTACGTTCATATAATACTTTCCTTAAGACATAATCCTTGTTCCTCCACATACCAGCTCAATCTTCGTCTCGTCTCAAATCAAATTACTTGTATATACACATTTGGTATTCTGCCATTCCTGTTTACCCATTCATGTTCCTTATATTTTTATATCACATTTTAAAACCAATTGTAAACATAGTAACCTTTGTAGGATCAATAAATTTCATTTCATTTCAAATAATAACCAATTGTGAGTAATGTTAATACATGTTTTTATTTGTTTTAGACAAATCTGTAGAATGTTGCACTTACTTTGTTACCTTAATTTTTTTTTTAATGATGATAATGGTATGGTACAGCTGCTTGCACTAAAGGTCTTCACTGCTGGAGCACCTGTGGAAGATGATAAAATTAGATTATAAGTTCAGATCAGTTGGCCTATCTTGTCAAATTTTCCGAGAATTTCTCATAATGGAAACCATAGAGGGAACTGTGTGGTGGTCAACCTGACATGGTCCACATTACAAACAATTCCCTTCTATACTTTTGTTTATAATTAGACATGACAGAGTAGGTGACACATAGTAATTAATACATAAGAGCAACTGTTGTCTGATTAAACATTGTATATGCCTGCATAGCTCAAATATTATGTCAGTGGACTGTTATATATAATGTATAATGAGAGAACTGATATAAATTTGTTTAAAACTGTTTTTATCTTTATTTATTTAGAAGCTTAGGAGCACAAAAATGGGCACATTGTTTGACATAGCTTCTAAATTCATTACATACGTTACATTTACTTATATTATACTAGCTACACGCCTGGCTTCTCAATTATTTAATTAATTAGTTAATCTATTGCTAAAAACTGCATTAAAATCTGTTCCGTAGTTAAAACATTTATGCAAACAGACTGCGAAAGCGACTTCATTTTATACTATGTAAAGTGTTAGATATAAAAGTATGTATTATAATAAAATAACAGCTATATAACATTAATTTACTTTAGCAATTAAAATACAACCAGCACATTCTGTGCTCAAAGACCGAATACCGCGGCCTACGAAAACCCTCCCTTTTATACAGAGAATATATGAGTAGGGGTTATATGCAACTAGCTTAACGATACCGAGTAAAAATGAAACTACCTTCTTTTAATATAAAATATCAGATTTTTCGACAATATCGATGTGAATCCTAACAAAAGTAATAATAATATTTATTATATAAACTTTATTCAGAAATAAAATTTTAAAATAGTGATAATATTAGGTATAATAATATCTCAGGCATTTCTCGCGTTTTGTTGTTATTCCGTTTACAAATAGGGATCTATTTATTTGGGAACGCTCTCGGCGTTTCTCAGTTATGAGTCTCAAGGTGTCGGTTGAATATTGTCATTAATAATAATAACCCCAGGAAAATTCACAAGGCCCCATCTAGTCCCAAGCTAAACAGAGCTTGTGTTATGGGTACAAGCAACTGATACAAATGCGTAGATTTCTTTTTTGTAATACATAAATTATATGGAAAACACAATATACTGTACAAAATATAATATTCTATATATACGATACAAACATTCATACTTATGAATCCAAATGTGTTTACCGTGCGAGAATTCGTACCCGTGACTGCGGAAGTACGGCCGTATGTTACGCCGCTAGATCACTGAGGTCGTCGTTGTATGTTATTATAACATCTACAAAAGCTAAAATTTTTCTTTATATTTTTCAGGTGGCGCGGAGTTACGACGTGCCATTCGTTGAGACGTCAGCTAAGACGCGGATGGGGGTCGATGATGCGTTTTACACTCTAGTCCGCGAGATCCGCAAGGACAAGGAAAGCCGCGGTAAAAAATATAGGAGAGGAAACAAAAGGGGTTCCCGGGCCCCGTTCAAGTGCATACTACTGTAAAATATAATTAATGTGCAACTGATATTTATGGATATCATCTATTAGAGTCCATTGAACTTCGTTTAGTACTCCACTCGCAAACCATATCCTAGTGCTGGAAATATTGCTTAATGGTAAGCTTGTATTGATTATATTAAGACTAAATGTTATTGTCAATAACATTTTTTTATATATGACATATTTGATAGTTCATTGTTGAAACAATAGATACATATATATAGCCATTTTATTTCTTGTCTATGGCCTGATTATGTTCCATCTGTTGCTGACAATTCTGTTTTGAAGTGTCACGCCTCTAATTTTTGTAATTTGTATTGTAAACTTCTGAGTATAGTGGATTTGTTAAAGTTGGGCTCAAAAGAACTTGTATTCAGAGCCGAAAACATAAAAAATATTGCCTTCAACGCCAATATTTTTTATGTTTTACGGTTTAAGTTTTAATTACTCTGTAATTAATTGTAATTGTACTGTCATTTGACGTACAAACATCTTCAATAAACTGACAATTTACAAACTTTTAAAGTGAAGTTAAGTCAAATGGTACTCAAAAATTAATAATACAATGTTTTTTCAAACTTTGACTTTGACAAAGTTATAAGGAATCTTTAAATAAAATAAAAATATAGGTGTCATATAAAATAATCGTTTGAAATATAAATTTGTTGGTAAACAGATTTGCATAATGTAGTCACCCAAATCTTAATCCTTTATTGACTAATTAAAATTTTCCAACATTTTCAGTTAGAGCAGAAACAGTTCAACTTGTGAACAATGTTACTAGTGACACTATTTCATTGTCAATAGTTTTGTGATGATTACTCTAAGCTTTATATATAAAAATTTTGGCAATACCATATTGAACAGATAAACAATCGGTCAAATATAGCTTGATTTAAGTATGTTTTGAAATAAAATCTTACATTATTCAATTGAATTAATAATACCTAAATTTCATAATCTAACATTTACACTAGATTAATATATAAAATAGTCTACATAATTGTTTCTGATAATTGTCTATGGACAAAATTTCTTCTGGTAGTTTTCATAAATGAACACGTAATTAAAGTGTTAAATCTTACAGAAAAAAAAATCATATAATCCCCTAATTAGTCTAGGTGTTTCTCAAAATTGGGGTTTAATCTCTATGTGATGAATATCCGTAAACATTAGTTACCTGCATGCAATGCATATTTTTATGCAGTCAACATGTTTGGCTGTGTAATGAGTACATTTTGATAGTGAAAGTCCCATCCTACGGAGCTGACTAAGCCAATGGGATGGGATGGTTCGGCTTGAAGGTGGAACATTGGAGATTGGGTTATGATCTGCGACAAAATACACAATTTTACTTATAAGTGCGGCATTGGACTGCTGTACAGTATAGAATGCCAGTCCTGCCGCATTATGTCACATGTGAACGTAATTTACTTAATAACAATCATGTCACATGTTTAAAATAATAGTAATTGCAATAGAATAATGTTCTTATACATAAAAACAAAAGCTTACAAATCTATGTTAACTATTAGTCTGGTTTGTTACTTTCCTTACAATGAAGTTAAATATATTGAAAGAAAAAGACAAAACATACCAATAGTTAATGTTACGTTTGACGTTTTTATTATTAAGGATGTCAAATACAAAGACGTGTATATGTATATATATAAATATCTAATGAGTACACCGTGAAAACTCAATCTCTATCACATTCACCAATATCTCAAGGTGCTATTAAAAGACATAGTACACTTGTAGTAAAAGTTCGAATTGCCATATGTTTTATAATAATATCAACTTTCCGAAGTTGAATATTGTACACATTATTGTTAAGCTTGGAACACTGAAGACTATTACTACTCTACAATGTTAGATAGGTAGATAAATGTCAAAACCGTTTCGCGCTAAAATATGTCTAATTTTAAATTTATGGTAACATTAAAAATAACCTAAAAATCGCGTTGAGGCTTAGCCGTTCAAAAATCAGTTTAATATTTGTTTAATTAATAAACAGAAATAAATTACACATCCAATTAAAATAAATTGATTATTAATAATTTAGCAAAAGCCCAAATAATACTTCTAATCATAAAGATTGCCTGCACGCAACGTCGCATCGATTTTATTATTTTAAAAATATAATCACATAAAACCAAAAACATAATCAGTACGTAGGGGAAACTGCGTTCTACTATTAGATCACCGGAAAATCAGGTTATGCTGTATTCAGAAGACCAATGTTGAAGAAGATAAATAACATTGTTTTTGCTAGATATAATTCTGAACAGTGACAACTTAACTTCGCCATCTTGTGCCCCACTCTCGAAAAAGTAGTTAACATGTTGAAATGAAATGTTAACATGATCCTGATCTTAGTACTTTTATTTTAATAAAAACTAGTACAACATTTTCTGTTACGACAGTAATTTAACGAATATGGCCTTTAGTATTACAGTAGAAGAAGTCGGACATTCAGTCTAGGTTATCAACATTTATGAAAACATCATAATATTGTAATAAGGTCAATATAGAATTTTAAAAAAATCAAATAATAGTGTTATTGTTGCGACGTTGCGATGACAGCGAGGCTTTTGTTTAACTTTCTTTCCCGCGTAAATAAGCACGCAGACTATTCTGTGTACAAGCATGACGATTAATTTTCATATGTACAATATCAAAGTGTTATTATAAAGTTATATAAGGTCATTGTTAAATGTTTTCTACTGTAGCTAATTCTACTTGTAGTTGAGTATGATCTAACGCAGTGATTTAAATGTTAATCACTTTCTAATTCAACTAAATATTCATAATATATATACAAAAAAAATTACTTAACAAAAATTAATGAAACTATGTCCTTTTCACATGTATTTTGTTGTGTCTACACATGTAATGAATTACATATAATTAAGTATATATAACAAGTTTTCTACAAATCTCGTATATAACAATACAATTATCAATTTACGAAATGTATTTTATTTACTGCTTATATGTGAGTGGAAACTGGGGTTAAATAATGAGATCTGTTACATTTTATTCGCAAGTTACTTTGCCTTTAATAATACTGAGGTACAGATGAAAATTGAGACAACGTCGAGATTTTGTAGCCGTAAGCGAAATTTGCAATGATAGCGCATAAATGACATTAGAACAAATATGTACCCGTACTGATTACGTTAACGTGATTAACGTGACCATTATTTTTGTCTTGGCAAAGTGAAACGCCTAAAAAATAAGCACATATATCGAAGTAAATTAATAAATTTACTTGAACATCTTGTTCTCATGTATTTAGTTTTTCAGGCGTCATACACGTTGTGGTCTTATATTTTTAAGCTGAAGTTGGCTAAAGCCTGACGCTTCCTCTTGTTGAACAGGGGGACAGTTAAAATTAAATTGGGACTGTCCCACACAAAGCGGGACGGATGGTCACATTATTATCGTATTATATATTTCAATTCGCACATTAAAAAGAATAATCTGTGAATTTATACAATCATGTTAAGACTACATAATAATGAAGATCTATTCTTGCGTATATCAACAAATATGTATAGGTACCCTCTTAAACTAAAGTATACTGTAGCGTTTTCTATCTTCTATGTAATATGTCATTGCGCGCCTCTAGTTTTAAGTTAATGTAACAATATCTGAATGTTTCCTTTCTGTGTTACAAGATTTAAAATGGTTGTGGTTTTGTCAATGGCCAATAGGCATGATGATAGCTGGCTGTTTTTGGTAAAACATATTTTGCACTTACGACGTGTCTCTTACAAATATCGATTGGATTGCTATTTTATTTTATGTAATGTAACGAAAAGCTCACTTATAAAATAAATAATACATTAATTGTAAAGTTTTTAACAATTTTAAAAATAATAACCAATGTTTAAGTTGTTTTTTTTTTTTGCTGTAATCATCATGCCTGTTATTAATTCATTCAGTTTATTGTCAAATTAGATTTATGCTCAAATCGACTAATGTCTCTTTGTCTAATTTTATGCCCGTATATTGAAAAAAAAACTGTGTTTGAAAATCGAAGTCACTTTTATATTTCCGTCAGTCATTTTGTTCTAGGTTAAAATATCTTTGGCTCCTACCATACCTTAGATATTTCTAATAGAAATTTATAATAATATCCAGTTTGAACATAATATCATAAATGCTAATTTTGGTCTCATGAGAAGTCATAATTTTACGGTTTTTTCTAATAATTCTATTTTAGTCGTTACTGTTTTACCTATATGCCTAAATAGGACCATAAAAACATAACCTATTTTTTTTTTCTAAAAGCAGATGTAGGTATTAACTTTTATTGTTTTCCTATAAGAAATCTATTTAATGCATATCTAACAAAGTTAACCTACTATCAACATAATGAAACGGAAATTGTGAATATTAGATTACAGTCTCCATTTTCACAGTACACAAGTTTTGTCTTTGTATAATGTACATATAGATAGCTTCCTTTCCAACAATATACATGATAAGTAAATTGTTCGTTTATAAGTTAATTAAGTAATTATGAAACAGGAATTATAGTGCAGTATAAATCATTTTGTAACCTATACGTTATTTCCAAGGCCCAGCGCTCACAGACTAATGTCAGTTATAGAATAATAAAAGGGCTAGTTGTATATCAAATCAAAATTATTTACTTATATAAAATATTTTTTGTCATAAACGCATGTCAATATTTTTTTTATCACTACCCTTATGATTAGAACTGGCAAGTAACATTACAGTTTATTGCCATATCTAATCATAGGGTATTTAAAAAAAGTTTTTTTTATTTGAAATAGGTAGGTACCATTGTCAATAAGCGCTGGCCCTTGATCTTACTCACTGGAAACAATGAACGAACCGAAACGAATTTTTATTATTACGCAACAATAAACATGGATTTACTTGACAGTTTTCTTTAGATTTAAGTTATTTTATATAATTAACTAAGTAGTTTGATATGTATAATAATTTGCTTTTAAAATAAATGATATACTCCATTGAAAAAAAATTGGCGCGTTGAGCTTTTAAAAATTTTCTAAATAAAAAGTAAATATTAATGGCAATGTAGCTGTTTAAATATAAAAACAAATGCGCGTACTTTAGTGTATATGACCAAAACTCTTGACATATTATTATTATAATTCTCTTCAAATTATCGAAATTTAAAAACTCCACGCGTTAAATAAGACCAATGGAGTATAGACAAATAATATTTAATGCTGCCATGATAAAAAATGCCCATAATATTTTATATGCCATAAAATTTGGGCCCGTCAATTTTTTTTAATCTAATTGTTTTCACGCTATTATGTACATGATAAAGGAAATGACGTCATATTAAGCATTTTATCGATGATGAATATT